TCTATAATGGTTTATGACAAAATTCCTTAAAATGAAACACCAAATATAGTTAATTTTTATAGATGGTTAAGTGTAGAGCAACTGAATTTCTACAAATTTTATGCAGAGTCTGCCATTAGGAAAAAATACAGGAAAGGCAGCAGACGAAGAGTTAAAAGGAAGAAGGCTCTTCAGTTTACACTCAATAATTCCAACTCATTTGCGGATGGAGTAGATTAGGTGTGTGTATTGGCAACAATCTGGCAATATGATATTATCACGATACGATATATTTTGATACTAAAAGCCATGTGATATTTCCAGTTTTTAAGACTGAATTTAATTAGAAAATTCATGCCTGATGCTTCCAAGACACATCCGGTGTTATCGTAAGAGCTTGCTGTTCAGGCAGAAAGGTGGTAAAAACTGCTGCCACCTCGCTGTTGGGGTTTGAATTGCACCTCTCAAAAGAAAACCAGTAAATGTTTGCAAGTAAAATAAAAATAATATGATGCACTGCTTTTAAATAATGATTCTGTATGTGGGGCGACAGTGGCACAGGAGTTAAGTGCTCGCCTTGTAATCGTAAGGTTGCAGGTTCGAGCCCTGCTCAGTCTGGCACTGTGACCTTGGGCAAGACACTTAACTAACCTTGCTGCTGGTGGTGTTCAGAGTGAACGGTGGTGCCTGTGTACAGCAGGCTCGCCTCCGTCAGCGTGCCCCAGGGCAGCTGTGGCTACAATGTAGCTCATCACCACCAGGATGTGAATGTGTGTGAATGACTGTTGTAGAGCGCCTGAGAAGAACCTACTATTTGAGGAAGAAAATGCACTGAGATGAGGGGAATTTAAAAGACTACAAAAATGTAGAACTAATTTTACACAAGATCAGTGCCTCAACAAAAAAGGAATAGATTTTAAAATGTATTTTTAATAAATCAGGAAGAAAAACAAGAGGACATAATCCAGCTACTAGTTACTGGTGTAATCATATTGACACAAAACTTAGATAAACCTTGTATGAAGGATATTAAATCAGTGCTGGGCTGCGGAAAGTATGCACACTCATGAAAAATTAACTGTCATCTAAGATTTGTTCTGTCCAGGTGTGTACATTAGCAGCTTCCCGAACATCTTGAATGCCAGTCATTTAATCGGATGTAAACCTAGGGGCATATAGCATGACATTCACACGTCATTCAAAAGTGAGAATGAGAAGATTTTCTCAGATTTGAATAAAAGAAATTGAGGAGAAGGAGTGTTTGAGTAAAATTTGACAGACAAGACAAAGGTTGGGTTGCAAGGGAAACCTGCTGCTGTGATGACACTAAACCTCCACGACGACTCCTCTGTTCAATAAAAAAGAAACTCACAAGGCAACACATGCAAGCCTTCATGTGTGCTCAGAAAGTGCTGCTTTTGCACACCTGTCTGCAGACATGCACGAAGAAAGGAGCCTGCATGCAGCTCTGACTTTTTTTGTATACTGCAAACAAATCACCCTGCATACACATATATGCAGGGTGTGGCAGCTGAGAGTGGTGTTATTTATAGCTGTACTTCCTCAGAGGTAGACAGAGAGAAAAGGAGGATGCAGGGGAAAAAAGCAAGGTCAGAGGAGAGGTATTAGCTGAGTGGACAAGTAAACCACCTGATTCTCTCTGCATCGCTCACACCCACTCGCGCTCATCCCATCCTTGATAGCTGAAACCACTCGCAAAGCACATATTCGAGATTTCCTTTTTGATATTTTACATAAAATCAGTGCAAACTGTTGAAGCTGCTGTTCCTATTCAGAAAACATTTGCATGTTCAATCCACTTTGTGATTTATAGGAAAAAACCTGCTTGAACGAAGGTAATTTCCCCATGCCGGTCCTAATGAAGTCCCAAGATTGATAAAGAATGTAAGTCCTACAAAAGTCCTCATGTTCAATCTTCTGCGTGCAGGTGCCTTGCTAAAAAACAGGATATGTCAATAAATGGAAGTGAAAACCAAAGTGTTCAGATGGTTAACAGCACAGCCCGACATCCCGCTTACACTGATTAAGCAAAGCCTTCAGTCTGCTCTGTGGTGGTTTATTTGTTCATACTGATATGCAAATACATAAAGCAGGAAAAAAGCATACTGCAGCATGGTATGAACCATAGAGACTCATCAGCTCTGCAGCTCATCTCCCCTCCCACTGATGGAAATCACAAAAATACCCAAAATACTATGGATTAAGGATTTCTGCACAAACTAATACCGTTGTCTGAGCGTTAACATCTACTAATGAAATTTTAAGCAAATTATAAATCTAAAGCTTTTGGTAATTAACAAGGAAATTTAAAATAAAGTCCAGACATCAAACCTCCTTAAACAAACCTTAAACACTGCGTGCTTTGTTTTTGGTGACTGAACTATGACTAATGAACATAAAAGCATCATATAAGCCAAAACAAATTCCCCTTCACATCTATAAAGACTTGGTGCTCCCTTCCTCGTGTCCTCAAGAAAACTTCCCTCCTTTGGCTTGAACCAAAGAGGAGAGAAAGATGAATTTGACTTTTAGAGGGAGAATTAAACAGAAGACAGTTGGGTAATTGCAGAGGTCCTCCATTTTAGAGTAGCAGTGAATGGGCAGCAGCCATTATTATGCTAAATTAACCTGGGAGCTCCCGGCTGCCACTCAAGATGGAGGAAAGCCCGACAACAGATAAGATTCGTTTAGTTTACCAACACACACACACACACACACACACACACACACACACACACACACACACACACACACACACACACACACACACACACACACACACACACACACACACACACACACACACCCCCCCTGAAAACCAACTCCCAACCCCCACTCTTCCTCTGCCCAACACACTCAGAGTGGTGGCGCTGGAGTGGTCAGCAGCATGGTCCTCATTATCATTAGACGCCATTTTCTGCCACAAAGATTACAAACGACCCCTCCCCCAGGAAATGCACGCACACGCAAAACGCTGGCCCCCCTTGCTGCCCCACCCCCGACTCTCTTCCAGTGGCCAGTGCTCACACACACACACACACACACACACACACACACACACACACACACACACACACACACACACACCCTCCCCCAACGCTGACCCCCTGCCTGCTGCTGCGGCCCTCCTCCTTCCTTGGGATAAAAGAGGCCGAGAGGAAAGAGAGAGATGAGTGGGACTAAAGGACGTAGGATGAGAGCGAGATGGGGGTCGTCCTGACACATTCCTCGGTCCGATCAAGTTTCCATGTTCACAATAACACAACTGCGGAGACTCGCGCACAATGAACGCTTCGCTGCTGTCTCCGACCTGGCTTAACAACTTCGATTAAACAGACAAGAGATGAAGAGAGTGCAAAAACATGTCTGTAGAGCGATTTATTAATTTAGGAAACAAAAGACATTAAGGAGCAAAGTCATACACCAGCAAGGGAGAGTGAAAAGGAAAAAGACTAGTGTATAATGTGTAAACAAACAGGACCGAAGGCAAATGTCTACACAAACAGTTCAGTCAAGCAAATCTATCTGGGGTTTAAACACCTTCGACTACATTTTTAGCATCTAAAACTAAAAAATTCAACGTTAGCAAATACTAATCTGTCTCTTGGTCAAAAACAGAAACTACAAAGTGAAAACATTCAACTACAGGCTCACATATCTTATTGCCTTGCACCATAAACACACACAGAGCTGCATTGTGTAACCTGCTCCTTTATTATCACGAACGCACACTGCGGATTAGTTTAACCCAATACTACATACACACTCCTGCTGGCAGAAATGTTCTCCAGAATCCAGAATGTGCATTAATACACTAAACTCCCACAGAAGGAATGCCTTCAACACAACAACAGGAACTTTTACATATTTATTCACAAAAAATAATGGAAAACATTGTAAATAATGTTGGTTTTAAGGTGGAACTGGAGGCTCTGAGTGTGCCGACAGACAACACTGAGGGACGCTTCACCTTCCACCTGAGCTGAAGCACCTGCTGATCAGTTGGAGAGGAAAATGTATAAATGTGATTGATCTGGAGGTGTCTCAGAGCCATACGCCATGCTTCACTAACCCCTCTGATCACAAAGTCACACCCATATAAACAATGTGTGGCAGTTCACAGCTCAAGAGGTGGTGACCCTTTCAGTTCCCCCTGGTTGGTCCCATGAATGATGGATCGTGTGAGTGTGTGTGTATATTCATACATCTATTGTCTCACTAAGACTCCTTTAATAACAGACTTTAAAATATTGCATTATAAAAGGATTTATTTACTGCAAACAAACTTGACCACCTAAGAATGACAAGGTGTGTGTGTGTGTGTAAGTTAGAGACAGATACTGCTTTTCTTAGCTCTTATTTTAAATACTGCTATCCACTGGAGCTGCTAAATGTTTCCAATTCCTTTTTAGTTCATGTTTGGAAGGAAATGAAAATGTAACAACTCGTTCATGAAGCCAAATCCGTGCTGGGACACTCCTACAGGCGTGGAGTCTTTAAAACCAGCTGGAAAGGAAGTTACTAGTTTCATCCAGCGCGTGCGCACACACGCACGCACGCACACACACGCACGCACGCACGCACACACACGCACACACACACAGGGCTGGGCGATATGGCCTCAAACCTATATTACGATATAATCTGAAGAATGTGCGGTAACGATACATATTGCGATATATTTTTTCCTATGTTTATATGTCAAAATGACATGCTTTTAAATATCCTCATGTAGCAAATATATGCCACTTGAGGTATATAGGCCTCCTCCTCCGCCCACTCCATGCTTGCAGTCACTGTCATTCTGTTGTCCCAATGTCAGCAGGGTGCACATCTTAGTGACGTCATGTGTTATCGCGATATCGCGGTATTGCGATATCATTACCCAATTTTATATTGTTTATATTGCCCACCCCTACACACACACACACACACACACACACACACACACACACACACGCACACACGCACACACGCACACACACACACACTGTTCCTACCTGGTTTTCTTAGGAGTCTTGACCTTGGGCGTGGTGCTCTTGGCTTTCTTCTCCTTGGGCTCTTTGGGAGTCTTGGGTGTTTTGGGTGTCTTCGGGGTTTTGGGCTCTTTGGGCTCCTTGCCCTCAGTCTTCTCCTTTGGTTTCTTTTTCCGCTTTTTCTTCCCTTCCACCAGCGGTGAACTTCCTTCAACAATTCCTGTGCCAGTAACCTGTTCACCAATGTCACTTCCTGCTCCAAGAAACTCCAACTTTACGTTGTCATCTCCTCCTTCCCTCGTTGCTTTTTTGCCTCCCTCTTCATCTACTACTTTTGCTTTCTTTTTCTTCTTCTTTTTTGGCTTGGTCTCCTGATCACTAGGGTTCTCTGTGCTGATAGGCTGGCCGGGGGCTCCGGTGCCAATTGTTGGCCTGTCAGGAACCATCCTGGAGGCATCACCTGACAGGTCTGAGGGGGAATGCTGGGGTGGAGAAAAACATTACTTTTAGTTACTTGGACACTTTCAATCACATACATTAAGAAATGTTAAAATATTAGACACTTCATTAGAAGAATTTTCCCCACACAATCATTAACCTTTGAAGTTGCTTCCATTCACAAGCGATCACAACCCAGTGGTTGTAAACAATTTTGCTTTTTAAATGGTCAAATAAAACACCCCCAAGACAAAAAAAAAGAACAAATAACATTTACTGCAACTTTGATGATTTGTTAAATTATAAAAAACAAATCTGTCAAGCATCATGAGACGTGCCTGCTGATGTTGTGCTTTAACACCGATTTGTCAAACCATTCTGTCGGTTAATAACGATGTTAGCTTCAACGTTGAGGCTAAAGCAGCCAGTCTTAAGCCTGGTTTATGCTTCTCCGTCAGCTCCGCAAGGGACAGACACGCACGGATTGACGGAAGCGTTTTGCTCTTTTACTTCTCCGTCTCCTGGAGAGTGTTGCAAAGCAATTGCCTGGCAGGACAACAGAGGGCGTAGCGCTGTTCTGTGGTATCCTGTCATGTATCGGTCCAAGATGGTGTGTTTATATTGTGTTTTTGTGTATATAAGAGACTTTTAACACGGACATATTTGTCTCTCATTCTCCTCCATCTATTCATGCGCTCCCCACCTCTAAACCTACGTTTCCTATCATTTCCGTCCACAAATAAAACTCTTGCTGTGCATCTTTTCACTCCTCCAGTCACGGGAGGATGAAACGTTCATATTTTTAGAGTTTTTTCGCGAGGTATTCTTCAAGCTTCTCTGTGTCTGCTGCTAGTTAAACTCGGCTCTCTTTGCAATGGCGGCGCTGTAAACAACATCGGCGTCCTGACCAATCACAAGCTTGCGTAATCCGTCTCGTTCGACGGATGTTTAAAAAAGTGGGCTCGACTCCGTACGTACTTGCGTGCCTGCCGGAGCCCTACGCAAGGACGCTGCGTGTCTCCGCACTGACGCAGACGGAGAAGCATAAATCAGGCTTCAGAAAAGAGGAACAAACCATCCATCCATCCCATCTCCTTGCTTTCCTGACTCCCTGTTGCTACCATCACCCCTGCATCCTCCTCCAACACACCAACCTTGGTAAACAAACTAGCTGATGCCTTAGTTGTCCTCCTGCTATTCTCTCCAGTATATTAAATCGCAATCTTTGTGCTCCCTCCTGCACCTCCTCTTTGCTCCCCAGTAAGCTCTCTGTGACAGGAAACTGGTTACCAGCTGTTGGGAGCCTCTCCAGCTGCCTCTCCTCTCCTTCTCTTCCATCCTTCCCTCCCTCCCTCCTGCTTTCTCTCTCTCCAGCTGCTCAGGGTCCCAGTAGCAGATGGGAAATCAGGCATCATGACACGAATAAATTATCTCCATACTTCAAAAAGGCACAGCAAGGGAGAACGTGCGTGCGTGCGTGTGTGTGTGTGTGTGTGTGAGTCAAACACTTTGCCTTTGAGAGTCTGATGGTGTGCATGTGTAACACGTGCGCTTTTGCATGTGTTGGTGTCACTGTAGTGTGTGTGTCGTTAAGTGTACACACAAAAGTGCGCACCCGCGCATACACACGTAGTTTGTTCAGAGGGTGGAGGAAAGAGTTGGGATGCCATCGCTGAAAGTTCACTTCCATCAGAAGAATGCTAATGTACACACACAAACACCAGAGTGCTGCAAGGTCACACATCACACAAACCTCTGCACACAAACACCTGCTGACACACACGTAAACTGAGCCATTTAGACGGGGGGAAGGGAGGGAGGGCAACTCAGGGAGAGTGAGGGGTAGAGAGACAGTGACAGAAAGAAAGGGGGGAGAGATGGTGAGGGAGATGCTGTGCCAAGAGATAAATCTGTCCTCCTGCCAAGCTTCTTAGATAATCAATCACAGGAATGACAATCGAGACACAGAGCTTGCGCACATGCACACGCGCGCGCACACGCACACACAAACACACACACACACAACTGCTGTGTCAGGTTTGGTGTTCTACAGTGTAAATGTAACTATGTTGTGTTAACTCGTATCGTTTTAAATGCCGCTCAACAAAAGCAGGATTTATTACTCCTCCATCATCACATGCTTCTAAGGGAAGTTAAAATATCGTCAGCAAACAACTAAAACAAAGAAAAGATCCATAAAAACAAACTTAAGCTTCGCTATGATAGAACATCCGACTACCAAAAATTGTCATGGAAGAAAGAAGGAAATGTGAAGGAGAGGATTTTAGCTTGTATCCTAACTCTGTCCATCCATTCTGCAGTCAGACAGCAACACCTATCTATTGTATGATGATTCATACAACAAAACCAGAGCCGTCTGTTGTGAAAACAAATCATGTTTTTATTTTTGCCACTGTGTGCTGCTCACACACATCCTGATACATCTAATTCTACAGGTTGAATTTAAGCAACAGGCCCACAAGTTGGAAGAGAAAAATATATTTCAGGTTTTATAATCAGCAGTAAACTGTAACTGACTAGCAAAACAAAGGACTAATTTGTATATTTTACAACAGAAGTTCAAAGTTCACTCTCCCATGCTGCCAGTAAACACTCAACAGTGTCGGATGGACTTCCTCTCTTGCATGAAATCTCTTTTCCACTGTGACAACAATTCTTTGTAAAGTTCGGCTTCTCTTTAAATACTAGTTTTGTTAGCGATGACTTTCACAAACAGCAGGGTGAACAAAAGCACACACAGTATCCTTCATTTTATTCAAAACACACCTGTCCTCAATAAATGATCAAATATATGGAAAATTCCAATTTCAAACTATCCAATACAAGACTGAGAATGATTTGTTATCTGCAAGTAATTCTGGGGTCATTAATAACACCTTACTTTAAAGGTAAACAAGAGTTATGCACCATTCAAATATCTTTCATGTTTACGTCCTCAAAACTGTGACACATGCAGTTTTTCCTAGTTCCTACTGCGTGAGTTCAGATGTATTAATTCACTTAAATAATAATGTTCTGATTTTATTGAAAAACTTGTTCTGTAATAGTTCCTTTACTATTGTGATCAAAAATATTTAATCTCAGTTCTGAGGCTGCTCTGTAAATAGTTTTCAAATAAACAATACACATAGCAACTTCTGATCAATCCATATCAATTTCAGACTTAAAATAATGTATTGATGTAAACCACACCCACTAATTTTCAAATAATAAATAAGAGGTGCATTCATCTGTGTATCAGTTAAAAGCAGGGCTTGTGTCGACCGGATAGTTCCCATATTTGACCGTTTATTTTGACGGAGAAAGAATAGAAAGAATTACCCCGACGCATGCAGACGAACTGACATTTTATTCTACGCACATCGCAGATGTAGCTAAATCACTCAAGAAAAGATTCCCATCAGAACATCTGAGCTGGACACTGTGTACCTTATGTAGTACACGCTGACAGCGAGCTGAAGATGTGGAGAGGGGCTTGGAGCGCGTCGCAGAACCAGAGCGCATGCGGGAATATTCCTCCGACTGAATTCATTCGGAGGAATCTTCCCGCTGATCTGAATCTGATGCGGCTCTCTGTGCTTGTAAAATAATGAATGGATATTTAAATAAAATGCTTTATATTTTACTGAATTAATTTTATATCTGTAAGTCAATTCTATGTAAAGATTGTCTGCGTAAACCTGAACAGGCCCAACTCAGTCTCATGGGCTCGACACACGGGAGGCGACATCGCCTCTCCTCCATTCATTTTCAATGAGACATGCGCGACAAAGCGATAATCGCGGGTCTCCCTCCAACCAAGCGAAACGCGAAAAACGTGCGCGTGAAATTTTGCGCTCGTGCACGTGTCGTGCACGGACGACCCAGCGATGCGATCCCAGAAAGTTGAAACATTTTCAACTTTTCATCGCAGTAGCTCGGACGAGGACCAATCAACGGAGGTTTCATTCACTGACCAATGAGCAGACAGGATGCTCCGTACATCTCCGAGCAAACATGGAGGACAAGTTGATTATTATTATGTTTTATATAGTAAAATCACAAGTAAGATTTCACATAACGCTAGCAACACCTTGTGAAACATATCTACCACTTTTTAAACTCTGAACCGCTTAAATAACCTTAATTCCCTCCAACCTGACACAGCCAAACAAAACAACGGAAGTTTCGATTTCGCCATGGAACAGAACGCGTAGACGATAGAACCCTAGCCAGAGAATCCTGAAAACCTTTTCGGACAGGGTCGGGCTGGGGCTCCACCCCCTCGGGCCGGGCCGGACACGGGCTCAGATTTTAGGCCCATGCAGGGCTCTGACACTGGCTACATTATGAACCAGAATCTGCGCAAATGAGGTGCACCGTTTGCCGCCAGCACGCTCGAGAGAAGAACTGTAACAACTTGTTGGTCATAGGAAATAAGACAATGAAGCTTGAGACTATTCGAGAACATGAAAACAGCAAATGCCATATTGCCTGCACATCCATGTCCCGGGCTCAATCTGAGTCTCTACTGGTGACACCCACGGTCTCGGCGCTAATGGCTATGTCAGAGAAAAAAAGGAGTCTGACTAGATTTCAATTAAAGAGTTCATAAAAACATCTCTAAAAAATAAATAGTAAAATGACAAAAGAGTTGTTTTTCTTATTAATTGATGATTTAATTATTTTGTCACTCCTCTCTGTTTGGAATCAACATAATATAGAATAACATGCTTTAGGTAGATCTAAATCATTTAGAATTTTGGTCGGTAAAAAATATGCTTGGCCGGTAGATTTTCATCATCTACCAGCCAACTTGGCCGGTGAGTCAAAAATTTTATTTCGGACGCTGCTGACAAGAGTATAACACGCTCAATATTGCTAACTTCCCTGTTAAATCAGCTTTCCAGTAGCTATAATGCAGCATTGAATCTCATTGTAAAGCTTGGTTTATGCTTGACGCATTCACTTTCCGCGCGGTGATGCGGCTCGCGGATGGAACGCGCTTCACAACTCGCAGCATTTATGGTTTGTGCGGCTCGTCTCTGCGGTGAGCCAATATTCTCCTAAACTGAACGGGGCAGCATGGAGCTCTACAGCATGCATCCAACACTACACCATAGTAGAAGTAGAAATTACTGTTTACAACATGGCATTTCAGCATTTTTAACAGCGTCCTCATCTCTTCCGACAGTGCGAGCTATTTCTCTCCAAGAATTATTAACTACATGTTGATCACGGTGATCTCTGAGAGCTGAAGCATACAAATGTCTGTATTTACGAACCTCTGCCATACTAGTTCTTGCCGGTCCGCCATGTTTTTCCGCGTCCGTCCGTCCGCGTGGTTAGAAATTTTCCGAGGTGCGCGTTTCGGAAATCTTGAGCCGTGCGGAGATGCGGTGGAGGGGCGTGGTTGTTAAAATGACGCAAAATGACGCAACTTTTCCGCGCGAAGCCGTGCGGACCTCGCGGATGCGTCAAGCATAAACCAACCTTTAAGCAGCTTCAGTCTAGGTCACACCTTCCTGCATAATCAACACGACTCCCTCACAATAGAGGCTAACAACTCAACACGGGGTAGAGAGGAGGGGTACTCAGAGTACTTTCTGCTCGTTAAACAACAAAAGACAGCTACAGTTTATAAGCTTGACTCTCCCATATTCCAGTCAGAGTTGACAAATCTCCTCGGATGAGTAGCGAAACATCTTCAAGAAACCAAAGTCGTCCAGTTGCCTTTATTTCAGCCCTTTGGATTACCATGACCTGGATGACTGAGAACCTTCACCAGCATATCTTCAGCTGCTGGCTGACAGGTCAGAAGTACCGCCCTCTATTATCCTGTGTGTAGCATGAACCAACTGCAGCACAGTTTATAATTGAGTTACACGTCAAATAGCCAATGAAATTCAGTAAAAACTGAAGTGTCACATGGAAGCCTTCTTGCTTGCTTCCACAAACTAAGAACGACTGATTGGTGGAGCGCTCCATTCAGTCTGTCAAGCCCACAGAACGTTTCAACGTCCCCAGCGCAAATATGTCGACCATCGTCATGTATCAAAACTGACAAACATCAGTTGGAAATATATTTTTTAAATATTGCCTAATCTCATTGTAGAAACTATACCCTTTGTTAATCTTAGTTTCAGATGGACACATAACCCCACAAAGGCAAAAACAATCAAGCAAACGGTCATGATGGTGAGAAAGTCTTACGAGAAAAGCAGCTGAAACAAGGGAGCTAAACCTACAGATGCATTTTCAAGAAGCTGCAAAATCTTAGTGTGCTAAATGGAATAGCAGCTCAGTAACTGCGGGAGCAAGTGGGGGAGGGGCGAGACGAGCATGTTATATGTCAACTAGAGTGCTGCACGCAATACTGTGTGTGTGAGTTGTAGAATAAAGGTCACAGCACAGCATTCTGCCAGAGTTGTGACCTTGAGATGCTGACGAAGGCGGGCGTGCATGTGTGTGTGCATGTGTAATAACCATGCTTAGTGAACAGATGGAGCTTAGAGTACCAGACATACAGTCATCATGACGGACTGACCAGCTCTCTGTGTGTGTGTGCGTGCGTGTGTGTGTGTGTGTGGCTCTTTCTAACAAGTGCATCATAAGAGAACCTGCCCCCCCCCACACCAGTCCCACTTCACTAGTGAGGCTATCCTATTCCCAAAGGCTGATTTCACCATCCTGTTCTCAACCAAACTATCACTGTTTATGTGTGTGTATAATGATGGGAGCTGCCGGGCCTGCAGCTAAAGTCAGGACGCCACATGCAGCGCACCCAGACGAAAAGTGGGGCTCACCAGTCAACCTGGCATCTAGGTCAGGAGTCCTGGATAAATGAAGTGTGACGGCTGAAATGTCAACCAAGGAACACAGTCTTTGGAGGTGGGGAGTAATAGGCGAGGGTAGGGGTGTAGAGTGAAGAGAAGGGAAATGGCTCCATGTTTGTGTGGCCACAGGGCTGCTATTGTGTAGGAATGGGTCAGTAGAGAAAGGGGGCTTTGAGTAACAAAACAAGCTAATGTAAGTCGAGGGCACGTGACACAGGTGATGCTGGTTGTGCACACTCAAGAGTCACAAATGTGGCTGATACTATTGAGAACTGCTAACTTCTGTCCAGCAGCTTTCCTCCCACTCTCATTAGGTAAAGAGCTGGAGATCTTTGCTTGTTTTCCCATGTTTCTCCTTCGTTTTCCCCTTATCTCCCTTACCAACCTTTTATTTTTCCTAATGACCGCCTGCATCTATTTTAAACCTTCTCTCTCTCTCTCTGCACATCCGGCTACACAACATTAAGTTAGTGATGACACCCCTGAAATGGATAAGACAAATGGGGAGAAAGACAGACAAGTGGCGAGAGAGAGCGGAAAGAGAGGAGACGGGGGGGAGGGAGAGACAGGAAGGGTGGTTTCCTCCACAGAGGAGGGGGAGAGTGGGACCAAGAGCGAGGAGAGATTATGCTGGTGGCGCCTCTGTGCATGTGTGTGCTTGTGTGTATTGCACACGTGTCTCAGGATATGCTGCTCACAGGAAGCAAACAGCTGCAAAAAATCAATTTCTACACACACACACACACACACACACGGAAATACAACCACACACAAGGCTGACGCCGCCTAACACAAAAGACACAACGTGAACACACACAAAACCCCAATGATCCATTCCCCAATACACTGCTGTGTTCTCAAATGTCATCCACACACACATTTATGAACACAGGCGTGCATACACACACTTCCCCTAGACTCCAAACACACATTTCCCCACCCACATGAAAAATAAACATTCACATGAAAAACACCCACACACAAAAACAAATGCTCATAGTCTTGATCTCTCACACTTGCAGCACTGCTACCACATCAAAGGGTTTGTTTGATGGAGACTCACCTGTATGTGAGGCACTTTCTGTGGGGTAAGAGGGGGTGAGGAGAGGGGGTGGGAGCCAGGAGGTGGAGGTGCCCATGGGTGGGAGGCCTGGTTGGAGGAAGGGGGCGTGCTCGGCAGGTGGTGGGGGTGTGGGGGCAAATGTGTGTGCTGAGTTTGAGTGTTCTGTGTGGGTGGAGCTAAGCCCTGGGTGGGGGCAGAGGCTCCATGTTGACCAATAGGTGGACCCTGGAAACCCAAGGGAGCAGGCTGCATAGGCTGTCCACCTCGAGAGGTCTGCTGCTGGGTCTGGAGCAGCCGCTGGTCCCCTCCCTGGGTGACTGAGGCTTCAAGAGGACCTGGAAATGAGCGATGAAATGTTTCATCAGTTTGTGGGCCATCATCTGAAAAAAATCTAAGTATTACCAGCAGCTACACTACGTCACAGTTAAAGAAATGCTTTAAGTCTGTTTCTAAAGAGAAAAATATTACAGAGGAGTTGGAGTTGGGAGGACCTGTGCAAAACCCCTCGAACTCAACACTGAGGATGCTGATTCACCAAACCTTGTGAACAGAAAACTCTCAGCAGAAGAAAAGTAGTTTCTCCTATATTTGTTCCTAAATATACCATCACCCTCTTCTGATTTCCACTGCTTTAACAAAATATGTGTGAACACAAAATCACACAGGAAGCAACATGGTGTCATGTTCTCAACCATCTGTCTCAACCAAAGTAACTCCTCTAGCACAGTTTAGTGTTTAGGCACTAAACTGAAGGTATGAATCACAAGTCTCAAGTTAAAATCCATTATTTTACATTGCTCTTACTAAACCTATAAAAACTTTTTATCTACTTCTGAAGAAACGTCTGGTCAACAACAAAAGTAAAACTTATTAAAACCTAACACAAAAGAAATGATAACTTCTGCTGCTTACCTGGCTGCTGCTGAAGCCTGTTTGGTCCCATTTGAGGACCACGCTGTGGTCCCATGCCAGGATACACTGGACCTGCACTGGGAGGCATGTTGTGGGTCTGCTGGTGTTGGGGGTGTGTGGCAGTTAGTGGGGTTTGGGGGGTTCTCTGTGCATGGGCCAAAGCACTGGGTGGAGACTGGAGGGCTGTGTATCCTGCAACCTCTGACCCAGCTAATCCTGCACTAGGAGGTCTTCCCTGTGGAGGAGGAGTTGGAGTTCCCAAAACCCGCATTGGGGACATAGAGGAAGGGGAGGGGTAAGATCCCTGAGTTGGGGGGGCAAGGTGGGACTGGGGCTGGTTTTGTGGCTGTGGCAGGCTCTGGGGGTGGTTTAAGGGGTGCATAGTCTGGCCCTGCTGCATGGAGGCAGAGTGGGTCTGATGGGGCTGAGGTTGGTGTTGCGGTCCAGGGGGGTATCGCTGTCCTTGTTGCCCTGGTGCTGAACTCGTTCCCTGGCTAAACCGCTGGCCAAGCTGCCCTGATCCCATGGCCTGGCTGGTGTTAGCGCTGACATTAGCATTAGCCCCCTGGCCCATCCCAGGTCCCATAGCAGCATACTGGGCCTGGTAACCAGGGTACTGAGCACCCCCAAATGGTGCCATGCCCTGTTGGTGCTGGTGGGTGTGTGGAGGTTGTCGTGAGGGGGAGTGTGGGTATCGAGGCGTGTGGCCCATGTTGGGATAGCCCTGTGGTTGTGGCTGAGGCTGTCTCATCTGGACCCCACCCATCCCAACATGTCCTAAGTAGTGAGATGGGTCCTGAGCTGGAGGGGGCACCACATTTTGTGAAGGGTAGTGTTGGTTCATGTGAGCTGCACTTGTCGCGGGTGGACCTTGCATCCCAGAATAATTGCCTTGAGACATCTGGTAGCCTCCCATCTGGTTGGGGCCACCCCCTGATGGTGCAGATGCCTGTTGATACACTGTTCTGCTCTGCTGCTGAGTCCAAACTCCAGCCCCACTTCCTCCCCCAGCATCACCCTGATAGCCATGATGGGGGTTGCTAGAGTTATTTGGGTTATAGTGGGAGGCCATACCATTCATAGCTGTGTTCACATTCTGTGGCCCCTGACTAGGACCATTCTGGGCCATCATTCGCCCTCCAGGGGCTCCAGGTTGATCATAACCACCGTAGGAACCATGCTCATACATTTGCCCCAATTTGGACTGCCCTGGTCCAGGCCCTGTACCATGTAGCATCCCTTGGTGGTAACTCCTAGTTCCCGGGTGCTCATGGGTCAGTGAAGAACTGGTCTGTTGAGCCAAAGGGTTGGTTTGACCAGGGGCTGACTGCTGAGGAAAGCAGTCTCCTAAACTGTCTAATCCATCTGAGAACAACCCTGCATCATCCCCAAACAAGCTCAACATCCCTGGGTCCGCCATGGCAGGGTGGTGGGCCCACAGATGGGGGGGGGGGGGGTGTTGTGCAGTTAGGAGCTAATCAGATAGCCACTAATTTGAAGCTTTCAATGCCATGGTCCTCATTAAGGTTCCTGGAGAGACCGTTGAAGAAAACAAGAAAGAGAAAATGTGGAGTTAGTTGATGTGATCATGAAAAAACTACTTTATGCTTTAAAATCAAGTTATTTAAATACTGTTTGCTTTTACCAATGTCAGACATTTCTTGTAAATATCAACCAATGATCTCATACATGCAGCACAAAGTTTGTATAAATTTATTGTTTAACAAATATGGTCATTTAGAACTACTTAGATAAATTTACAAAAATGTATCTTTGGAAAAAGGAAAAAACAAATGTTTTGTTAAATGCTGAAAGAGTTGGAGGGAAAGTCTGTAGTCTGTAAGGACATTTAATCCAGGAAATTAATATATACTTACATGACTGAATGAATTTCTTTTTTACAACACTAGAATCCATACAGAGCCTTTTAGCTCACATATTTACTTCATAAGAATAAAAGATATACATTTGAGCTGGCCATGTTAGAGTAACTAAAAGAGGACTTCATTTGAAATGATCACAATTTAAATCCTGAAAGGATGCAGTAAAATTTCTATTTCTGTAAATTAAAAAATGTCCTTGATTATACTAATTGTTTCTCCACATCAATTAGTTTTATTCGCCATTACACAAAATGTGTGTGTGTGTGTGTGTACAGGTCCTTCTCAAAAAATTAGCATATTGTGATAAAGTTCATTATTGCCTGTAATGTACTGATAAATATTAGACTTTCATATATATTAGATTCATTACACACAACTGAAGTAGTTCAAGCCTTTTATTGTTTCTAATATTGATGATTTTGGCATACAGCTCATGAAAACCCAAAATTCCTATCCCAAAAAATTAGCACATTTCATCTGACCAATAAAAGAAAAGTGTTTTAGATACAAAAAAGGTCAACCTTCAAATAATTATGTTCAGTTATGCACTCAATACTTGGTCGGGAATCCTTTTGCAGAAATGACTGCTTCAATGCGGTGTGACATGGAGGCAATCAGCCTGTGGCACTGCTGAGGTGTTATGTAGGCCCAGGATGCTTCGATAGCGGCCTTAAGCTCATCCAGAGTGTTGGGCCTTGCGTCTCTCAACTTTCTCTTCACAATATCCCACAGATTCTCTACGGGGTTCAGGTCAGGAGAGCTGGCAGGCCAATTGAGCACAGTAATACCATGGTCAGGAAACCACTTACCAGTGGTTTTGGCACTGTGAGCAGGTGCCAGATCGTGCTGACAAATGAAATCTTCATCTCCATAAAGCTTTTTAAAATCTCCAGATAGCTAGCTGCATTGACCCTGCCCTTGATAAAACACAGTGGAACAACACCAGCAGCTGACATGGCACCTCAGACCACCACTGACTGTGGGTACTTGACACTGGATTTCAGGCATTTTGGCATTTCCCTCTGCCCAGTCTTCCTCCAGACTCTGGCACCTTGATGCAAAATTTGCTTTTATTCTAAAAAAGTACTTTGGACCACTGAGCAACAGTCCAGTGCTGCTTCTTTGTAGCCCAGGTCAGGCGCCTCTGCTGCTGTTTCTGGTTCAAAAGTGGCTTGACCTGGGGAATGCGGCCGCTGTAGCCCATTTCCTGCACACGGTGGCTCTGGATGCTTCTACTCTAGACTCAGTCCCCTGCTTCTGCAGGTCCCCCAAGGTCTGGAATCGGTCCTTCTCCACAATCTTCCTCAGGGTCCAGTCACCTCTACTCATTGTGCAGCGTTTTCTGACACACTTTTTCCATCCCACAGACTTCCCACTGAGGTGCCTTGATACAGCACTCTGGGAACAGCCTATTTGTTCAGAAATGTCTTTCTGTGTCTTACCCTCTTGCTTGAGGGTGTCAATGATGGCCTTCTGGACAGCAGTCAGGTCGGCAGTCTTGCCCATGATTGCAGTTTTGAGTAATGAACTAGGCTGGGAGTTTTTAAAAACCTCAGGAATCTTTTGCAGGTATTTAGAGTTAATTAGTTGATTCAGATGATTAGGTTAACAGCTCGTTTAGAGAACATTTTCATGATATGCAAATTTTTTGAGATAGGAATTTTGGGTTCTCTTTCTTAACATTCGTTTCGATGTCTCACTATGGGATACGCCCCTCCGCGGATTCCTCAGAAGCACTTATCTCAATACGCCAATCCTGATTGGCCAGTGACCGTGACGTACGCGTCCCCATGCTACTATAAGTAGCAAGCGTCCCAACGCACGCACTATTCAATCACCTCTTCTCGCTTCGGTGGTCGCTTATCTCTGAGGTAAGTTAGCTCAACTGTTCACAGACGGAGCCTTCTAATATTCTCTCCGTCGCCGAACGTTAACTTACCGTCCTTCTGTCCTGACCTTCACCATAGGTTCGGGGCATAACGAGCAGCTTCACACTCCAGTGCACCTGTTCGCTCTCTGCTAACACACCAGTTAGCCAACATGGAAGCCGCTCCTCCCACCAGAGGAGTCGATGGCTCAGGAGCTCGCCTCTGTACCTGTGGGAACAAAATCTCAAGCAAAGACCCGCACAAGGTCTGCTCGAGCTGCCTCGGGCTGGAACACGCCCAGCTGGCATTGGAAGTCCCCGGGTCATGTGAGAACTGTGCCTGCTTCACCCTGAAGAGCCTTCGCCGGCGGCTAGCGCGCCAAGCTAGCCTGTCGGGGAAGGACCCTTGCCTGCCGGCCCCTGGGCCACCGCCTGGGGACGCCAGCGAACATGCCCTCCCGGAGCCGGAACCGTGTGCCGAACTCAGCTGGGGCTCACAGCTCGAACTGGCCAGTCCGAGCCACCCCGTCGAGGACATGTTGGAGTTGGACTACGGAGACGACGAGGACACCTCGGAACTCCTCATTTCAGAGGAGGACGAGGATGACGACGTCTTTCTCCCCGTCGCTCAGGCCTCCATGCCTAGCTTTCCGTCCTCTCCCAGGGATGGAGCGGCTTCTCCGGCCGCCCACCTGGACATGCAGTCAGTCTGCCGACGCGCTGCGACCAGGCTCAACATCCCTTGGCCCACCGTGGTCACTGAGGCTGTCAGGTCCCGCTACGAGGGTAAGAAGCTGCCTCAGGCCACAAGGGCGGCAAAGCCCCTCCTTCCCGCCTTCCCGGAGCTTCTCCAAGAAGTGAGGTCCTCCTGGGACAAACACCCTTTCAGCTCAAGGTCTCCGGTCCAAGGAGCCTCCTCGCTGGACTTCGAGGGGATGGAGAGGGCTGGCATGCTTCGCATGCCGCCGATGGAACCGCTGGTTGCAGCCCACCTGCACCCACGACTCTCGGCAACTTCCTCCAGGCCTCCCGCTCTCCCTGCAAAGGCGGACCGCTTCCAGTCGGCGCTGAACGAGAGGGCGTACAAGGCTGCCGCCATCTCGGTCCGAGCTTTGAATGTCTCCTCCATGCTCTCAGCGTACCAAGCCGAGCTCTGTGAGGACATGAATACGAAGCCGGACCCGGAGGTGTGGGAGGAAATCACCGTACTGACCGACATCTGCCTGCGGGTGCAGCGCTGCGCGGTCCAGGCTACGGAGAAAGCTATGGGCATGATGGTGCTTCAGGAACGTGCACGTTGGCTGAACCTCACCAACCTCTCTGATAGAGAGAAGGAGGACATTTTGGACATGCCAATCGTGCCTGAAGGCATTTTCGGCTCTGCCCTGGCATCGATGCAGCAACGGTGTGAGGCCAAAAAGAAAGAGGATGAAGCCCTTCATCTCTGCCTTCCCCGTAAGCCTTCACCGGCACTGCCGGCTCGGCCGAACCTTCCTCAGGCAATACCCCGAGCCCAGCCTCAGTTCCGGATCCCAAAGCGCCCGAAGCCTCAAGCTGTCCAACCAGCTCCCTCGGGCTCAGCGCCTCGACCAGTGTGGCCTCAGCGATCCGGCAACCAAGCTGCTCCGCCGCCGGGACAATCCACCCGACCCGGCGGTCAGCAGGTGAGGAAGAAGAAGAGGGCAGCCTGACGGAGTTCTTTCCCTCCCGGCGCTGCAGCTGGCAGTTCCCCGTTCGCCAGCCCCTCCTGTTAAACGTTGCCATGGTGCTTTCTCCCCCCCTCACGGAACCCCTCCGGCAGAGTCCTCGAGCGGTCCAGGGTGGGGCCAGGACGTGCAGCCGGCTGTGCCGGCTCAGAACACACGTCACAAGCACTCACATTGTTGTTTTTCACAAACATGTCACGCTCAAGGAGCATTAAAACGTTCGCTGCCGCATCCAGACAAAATGTCAAGGGCGCAGCAAAAATCAATAAAAATGTTACCCATGAGCGGTCCCAGGCGGGGTCGGCCCCTGGCGGACTTTCTAGCCAGCCACGGGTCGTCCCCGTACACCTGGGCCGTCAAAGCACAAAGCCCCCGCGCATGCGCAGTGGTTGCCACGAGCACTGCTGCCCCACAACCTCTGGGGGGAGCTGGTGCTCCGTGTGTCACGGCTGTGTCACCGCTCTCAACTCACATGGAGGAATGGACAGCGGTTTCTGCTTCACATTGGGTGATAAGAACAATTTCGAGGGGTTACAGGCTCCAATTCGCCTCAGTTCCTCCTCGATTCTCCGGCGTAGTGTTCTCCCACGCCCAGGGGTCGTCAGCTCACATCCTTCAGGGAGAAATCTCCTCCCTGCTGGAGAAGGGAGCGATATGCATTGTGCCTCCCGATCGGTCTCAGAGCGGTTTCTACTCCAGGTACTTCCTGGTCCCGAAACGGGGAGGGACCGGGATTCGCCCGATCCTGGATCTGAGGGCCCTGAACCGATGCCTCAGAAAGTACAGATTCAAAATGCTCACGCTCTCATCCCTTTTGCGTCTGATTCACCAGAACGACTGGTTCACCTCAATCGACCTGAGGGACGCATACTTTCATATTCCCGTGTACCCTCCACACAGGAAATTTCTGAGGTTTGCCTTTCAGGGAGTGTGTTACGAATACACCGTGCTCCCATTCGGCCTCTCGCTGAGCCCGAGGGTGTTTGTCAGGTGTACGGAGGCGGCGATCGCCCCTCTGAGAGGGAGGGGCATTCGACTGGCCACATATTTAGACGACTGGCTCCTGCTGGCACG